ACTGAAAAATAAATATTAAAATTCTTTCTCTCTCTCTCTCTCTCTTTATTAAAAAAAAAAAAAAACAGTGGTGAGTGCCATCATGTCAGAAGTTTCAACAAGAAATGTATTCTTTCATATGATAGAAAGTCCTGAGGCATAGGGATCTGTAGTGTTGGTTAAGCTGGCAGTTTATTGATATTGAAAAGGGCCCAGGTTCTTTCTTCCTCTGCCATCTTTAGTGTATGGAGTGGTCTCAGCCCACTTACGGTCATGACAATTACAGTTACAGACATCATGTCCAGATTAGGTAACATATATGGAAAGAAAGAGACTGTTTCTTCCTTTAAAAGAGGAAGGAGCCAGAAAAATTTCTTCAAATTTCCTAGCAGACTTTGCTTCTCTGGCTAGTAACAAGTCACAACCCTTCAGCCTTTGAACTGTCACTGGGAAGAGGAATGATGGGATTGCCATGCTTGGCATGGCTTGAACAGTTTGCCACCAGAGTCATGTGGGCAAGGGGTGGAAACCCAAGCAAACTAGAACTCTGCCCTCAGGAAATAACGGAGAGATGACTCCTGGATGAGCTTAAGCTGTGTTAGTCTGCAAACTGGTGCAACCAACATGGAAAGCAGTATGGAGAATCCTTGGAAAACTGGGAATGGAACCGTTTGACCCAGCTGTTCCTCTCTTCAGTCTATACCCAAAGGACTTAAGAATAGCATACTACAGGGACACAGCCACATCAATGTTTATAGCAGCACAATTCACAATAGCTAAACTGTGGAACCAACCTAGATGCCCTTCAGTAAAAGAATAGTTAAAGAGAATGTGATTTATATACACAATGGAATATTATTCAGCATTAAAAGAGAATAAAATCATGGCATTCGCAGGTATATAATGTTATGTGAAATTAGCCAATCCCCAAAACCCAAATGTCTAATGTTTTCTCTGATTTAAGGGTGCTGATTCATAATGTGGTGGGGTGGGGCAGGGCATGGGAGGATTAGATGAACTCTAAACAAAGGGGAAAAGAGGAGGGAGGGTAACAAAGGGGGCTTGGGGGTAGGGAAGATGGTGGAATGAGATGGACATCGTTACCCTAAGTATATATATGAAGACACGAATGGTGTGACTCTATTTTCAGAGATACGAAAAATTGTGCTCTATATGTGTAATATGAATTACAGTGCATTCTGCTGTCATATATATAAAAACATTAAAATTTTTAAAAAGGGATAAAAAAGAACCTTGTAATTATGACAGATTATTTTTTTCATGTAATTTTCTTAAATATATGAAGAAATTTTTCTATCAGAGCTGTAATTTCCACTTTCTCTTGAAGGCACAGAAAGGGAGTCACAGGACAATACTGCAGATACTGATGATGGTGGCTTCAGCGAAGAGTGGGAAGCCCAGAGAGATAGTCATCTAGGGCCTCATCGCTCTACCGCAGAGTCACGAGCTGCTGTCCAGGAACTTTCCAGCAGCATCCTAGCCAGTGAAGATCCAGAGGAAAGTATGTGCACTTCTCTATGTTGCAGAGTCATGGATTTTTTAGGTGGCTGCATTATCAACTTCTCAAGAATAAAATGAATTGAGAGTATGACCATCACTCTAAACCACACTGTGGCTTTTAGTGGGAAATAGTTAATAGGCCAAATTCTGATTGTAACTACTCTAGTGGGTGTAAAGTGGTCTCCCAATGCAGTTCTAATTTGCATTTTCCTGATAGTTAATGATATTAAGTGTTTTTTCCTGTGTACATTTTGGCCTCGTGTACATTTTCCTTGGAGAACTAGCCATTCAGATCCTTTGCTCATTGTTTTGTCTTTTAAGTATTGAGTGTAATCATTCTTTATATACTCTAGATACAAATACTTATATACTTATCATATAAGTTCTTCAGAAATATACTTATCAGGTAAGTTATTTACAAAAAATTTCCCTCTATATTCTGGTATTTTGTAGGTTTTCTTTATTTCAGCTTCTACAAGTTAGTTTCTTATAGCACTTAACATTTGAAATCCAAAGTCTAAAGCTAGCATTTGTTTAAGTCCCTATATGTGCCAAGAAGTTTTCTTGTATTATTTTTAACTCTGATAGCAGCCTTATGAATTCCCATCTAAGAGCTGAGGAATTTGAGAATTGAAGAGGATACAAATACTTAGAATTGAATGATAAAATAATAACCCAAATTAAAATGGAGAAATGCTCTGAATAGACCTTTCACAAAGGCTGGAGATGTCACTCAATGGTGTAGTTCTTATTTAGGATGCACAAAGCCCCTAAGTCCAGTCCCCAACACTGCAAAATAAATAAAATAAAATAAATAATAGACCGTTTACCAGAGGAGAAATATAGTGACTACTAAGTGCATAAAAAGATACTCAGCATCATTCATTGGGAGGACTGTGATCAAAAATATTAATACCAAGTATTGGTGAGGATGTAATAAAACTGAAGCTCTTGTGCTTTGCCATAGGATTGTAAGCTGATAGCTACACTAATAAAAACAGTTTGGCAGTTCATTGAAAAGCTAAACCTAAATTTACCATATAACCCAGCAACTCTTCCTAGAAATCTACCCAATGAAAAATGAAAACTACCTGTTCCACAGAGACAAGTATACAGATGTTCATAGCATGATTCATAGTAGCCCAAAACTAACTGTCCAGATGTGCATCAAACTAGTCAATGAATAAACAAAGTGTAATATACAATGGAGACTATTCAGCAGTAAAAAAAGGAACCAATTGGCTGTGGATAGAGATCAGATTTAGAGAGAAGATTAAAAACTACAGATATGTGCAGTATCATGGATAAACCCAAAAAATGCTAAGTGAAAAAGGCCAGCCAGCCATGACTTCGTTTATGGGTATGGGTTCTATTTATATGAAATCTCTAGAGAAGAAAAATTTACAGAGGTAAAAAGTAGATGAGAGGATATTAACTATAAATGGGTTAAAAGTATCTTATGGGGGGATGAAGTGTAGACTGTGAAGATGGTTGCCAACTCTATATATTTTTCCCTCTCATTGAATTACACTCTTACAGTGGGTGGATTTCATAAGATAGGATTTTGTAAGATACCTTGGTCAAGCTGTTCAGGGGTTCTTATGAGGATTTATTAGTAGAAGTGCTGGGTATTAACTAGGTATTCAATAGATGACAGTTATGGTTGGTGATGGTTGTAATTGCAGTGTCTGTTGAGACTCCAGAATCTTGACGTAGAATCTGAAACTCCTGTTGTAGAAAGAAAGAAAACCTAGTGAAAGCTTAAGTTTTGTCTGTCATCTATTGACTTTTCATTCAGTACAGGGTTATATTTTTTGTTGTTTGTTTAGTTTTTGAGACAGTCCCACTATGCTGTCCAAGCTACTATTGAACTCCTGGGTTCAAGCAATCCTCTCACCTCTGCCTCCCAAGGAGCTGGGGACTACAGGTGTATGCCACTGTGCCCAGCTCAGGACCCTGTTTTTAAATTCTGAAGTCATAGCAAAGAAGGACAAACTTTGTCACATTTGTAATCTTTCCTTTTTAGGGGGAGTAAAACTTGGACTGGGAGATTTCATTTTCTACAGTGTTCTGGTTGGTAAAGCCTCAGCAACCGCCAGTGGAGACTGGAACACTACCATAGCCTGTTTTGTAGCCATATTAATTGTAAGTATACACTAATAAAAATATGTCAGTGCTCCTAATGTCAGACTTTCTAGTTCTGAATCCCTTGAAGACAATTCGCTTTTAACCCCATGTGGGCCAAGAGTGCCAGTCACTCCAGAAACTTTTTCTAAACACACCCGAATAACACTCCACTCTGGCCACACATTAAAATTACCTGGGAGCTTTTAAAACTGAACTCTGCCCTGAAATATGTCATTTAATTTGTTTTCATTGTGTTGTTTTAAAAAGTTCTCCAGGAAATTCTGAGCACTTCTGGTTAGGAGTCCCCACAGTGAGCTCAGCATAGCTAAGTGTGAAATGTACTCTGCTCAAGTTCAGTGTTAAGGGGCCGGCAGAGCCTCTAGTCCCTGAACTAGTCACCAAGGAGTTGGCTGTTCTGCATTGAATGACACAAGCTGTGGTGTGCAGTGTTACTGTGGGCAACAGGTGCAAAGCATGAGTCTTAAGCCAGACCACTCCATGGAGTCAGGTTGAGCTTGCTTACGGTGTCACAGCAGGGGGTCCCCAAGGCTGTCAAGACTGGTTTCAGTAAATAGCCCATAAAATATTTCTTATTGCTCTTTTTATTCTTGTTGTGATATCGTAGATACATAGTATGCAAGTGAAATTAGATGAAAGTTTAGGTGAAAGCCTTTATAATACATTTTTTATTTATGCTATAACCAGTTAGAATTTTCACACATTTTATTTCTCTTTTGAGGATAGTTTTCTGACTTTGAAAGTATTTATTGGCTATATATCTTTTTGCAGAGGGAGTGCTGGGGACCAAAGCCAGGATCTTGTACATGCTAAGCACATACTTCACCGCTGAGCTGTACCCCTGGCCATCTTTTAAGATGAAATTACTTATTCTGAATAAACTGAAATGATGCCCAGTCTCCAGGCTTTGTAGGCAGAGTCTCGGTAACCAGGGTAAAAAATGAACCATGTGTTTAAGCTGCTGTATTTACAAGAAAGTGCCACACCACTCATGCTGGTTTTCATCATCAGTTGGTTCTTTGAGCATCTCTTTGTCCCCTCATAGCATAAGGAATGCTCTTTGCCTCTGGGATTTTAACCAGCCAAATTAAAATCACATAGGCCTTTTTGATATTTTATATAGAAATTTCAGTTTTTTTCAAAATAAGTTTTACTTATTTTTCAGATATTTTTTCTTTCTTTCTTTCTTTTTTGTACTGGGGATTTAACCCCAGATTTAACCTGACTCCATTAGCTACATTCTGACTGCTTTTTATTTTTTTATTTTGAGGCAGGCTCTTACTAAGTTGCTTAGGGCCTCACTAAGTTGCTGAGGCTGTCCTCAAACTTAAGATCCTCCTATCTCAGCTTCCTAAATTGCTGAGATTACAGGCATGCACCATCTCAGATTCTGTTCTTTTCCTGAAATTAGGGAATAAACTATCAACGCTGTGTGCACAATGAACTCTGTACAACAAAGAAACGAGGAATATATTTTCCTTTTTTCAAGAAACTACATTTTTGGTAGAGAATGCCCTGAGTTCAATCTCCAATACAGAGAGAAAGGAAGATGGGAGGGAGGGAGAGACATTTTTTGTTTTTTCACGGCTCTTTTTCCAGATTTGATGAAACATTGGTGCTAAAATTTAACCCCAAAGGGAAGTATTCAGTTAACCAAGACTTGTTATTGAGTTGTTGTGTGTGAAAATGCCTCCAGAGTCATGTGTGAGCGTGTGTCTTTCCTGTCTCCTCCGCAGGGCCTGTGCCTTACGTTATTACTCCTCGCCATTTTCAAGAAAGCATTGCCAGCTCTTCCCATCTCCATCACCTTTGGGCTTGTTTTTTACTTTGCCACAGATTATCTTGTACAGCCCTTTATGGACCAGTTAGCATTCCATCAATTTTATATCTAGCATATCTGCAATTAGAATCCCATGGATGTTTCTCCTTTGACTATGATAAAATCTGGGGAGGACAAAGATGACTTTCCTGTGTCCACATCTAATGAAGTCAAGATTCCCAGCTGGACTTCCAGAGCTTCCTTCCAAGTTTTCCTGACCACCTGCACTATTGGACATTGGAAGGAAGTACCTACAGAAAACGGTTTTTTAACATTTTCATTGTGGTGAACTGTGTCCCTCGGTGCAAAAACTACCAAATTTGAGGGACAAGGACAAGGAAATGTGATGGGCCAAGAAGTTGCTGAGCTCCACCAGCAGTTTGACCCTTGGTCACAGGAGACTTTACCAACACTGCGAACTCTCAGGACTACCATTACCATAAGGTTAAATGAAGTGGTTTCAGCCGAACAGAACTTTCATCTTAAACTACATAAATCAGCCTAATGAATCTGTATTAATTGAATTCTGAAATTTTTCAGGAGGTACTGTGAGGAGAGCAGGCACCAGCCACAAAATGGAAAGGTGGAAAGGGGGCTTAAGCTTTCACTTTCAGACTCTTTTGATGCAGAAAAAACTTTAATTTTTTTAAAAAGATGGGTTCCCCCTACTTTGAGTCACATCAGATGTGTAGGTTGGTTTTGACGATTTTTTTGTCCTCAGGCACTGAAACTCATTACCATCTGTGGTGGCCATTTCTTCCCAAGGCCAGTCTGAACTTATGCTTTGTCCTTGAAAGTCTTAACCTCAGGTTCCAAATTCAGCAATTTCTGGAAATAATGGAACTGTTGCTCAATGATTCCCTATCATCCTTAAGTAAATTCTGGATTTTCCACCAAATTGCTAATTTTTACGCACACTTGTAAGTTCATTTGCCCCAGATGCCTCCTCTGCTCCTCATTTTTCCCTTCGTCCCCCAGCAGTTCTCTTCTACAGCAAATGAGGCAGCTCTGTGCTGGTAGCAGGTGATCCTGTTAATCCCGTTTACTCTCTGTATGATTCGAAGAATGTTGTGAATCAGTGCTATCAGCCTTGCTGTCTCAAGTTTTGATAGCAAGTATGATGTGTGCCCAAAGATAGTAGAATTAAAGAAGAGTAAAATGGCTGGTGAAGCACTTTCTGTCCTGGTTTTTCTTCTGTTACTAAAAGCTACTGACTCTGACACTAGGTCAGAATTTGAATTGGGCCCCGGGGATCTGGCTCAGTGGTAGAGTAGAGCACTTGCCTGGCATGCACGAGTCCCTGAGTTACATCCCTGACACTAAAAAAACAGAAAATCACAAAATTTGAATTAATAACTCAATCCTGATGGTTTATGTTTATGAACCAGTCATATCAGTACAAAGCAATAGTTTGGAGAATGTATTATTTTGCTTGGCAAGCTGTGGGAGAACCTGGGGTCCGAGAACCAGCTGCCAAGAGGAGAGAGAAGGGGTCTCCCATAGCCAAGGGGCACAGTGAACTCTCGGCAGGCGGCTGGGAAGGAGGAGATCCGCGATGTTCTTCAGGAACCTCACAATGGGTGCTTTGTGGTCTCTGCTGCATCACCTTCATCTTGATGTGCCTTTGTGTGAACTGGACAGTGGAGTTGCTGTCTGAGTCACAGTTATGTACAGTTCCGTCAGACAAAGCACAAACACAGAGCTAGCAACCTCGTGGACATCTGGCACGCACCTCTAGGTGAAGCCCTGCAGGGCCCAACCCTTATTTTCCCATAGAGAGCCCTTAGCCATGGTGAGGAAACCCTAAGCATCTGTGACAAGCTATTTCCTCTTTGGTTGAAGAAGACTGGCTTTTCCTCTCTGGCCTGCTGCTTTCTCTTCCGGCCTCTTGTGTGATCCAGTTGGGGGTTCTCTCTGGAGTTCAGAATATCTGTTTTCAGTCATGAAATAGCTAATAAGAAACTAACCTCACGGCTGGGGATGTAGCTGGGTGGTAGAGCACATGCTTAGTGTGTGTGAGCCCTGGGTTCAATCCCCACACCACCAAAAAAAGGAACTTTAGATTATTAACCTCAATATCAGTTAAAATTGGCTCATCTCAGGCAATTGAGAAGAGCAAGAAAAATAAGAGCTACACAGGGAAAGAGGCTCATGGTGATAGGTTCTATCTCCTATTTTTTTCATTTAGCTCACTTTTACCAAGATTCTCTTTTTTGGGTGAGCAGTATAGCTCAGTGGTAGAGCATTTGCATGGGCCTTAGCATGTGCAAGGCCCTGGGTTTACTCCCTAGTGCCACATCAAAAATTTCAAAAAATAATTCTTTTTCTGCTCCCAGTCAGGTAGCAGTGTGGGTGGTGGCATCTGGAAAGCACAGCTGCCACTAACCCACCCCCACCCCAGCTTGTGATTCAAAGCACTCTTGGAGCTCTTACCTAGAACAGTTTGTGTAAGGGTCCCAAGTGTGTTGTATCTTTCATGACAGTATATAATTGTGTGTGTAATTGTGTCATTCCATTCTATATATTATTGTCCTACGGAGAAAAATGGCAGTAATTCTGTCTTTAGTTGGAACCACATCTGGGCCATCATAAGTCAGCATACAGAGAACCCATCTTATTTCTTTAAGTCACTGATCTCAGACACAGAACTCATACAATTTGTGGCTGAAGACTGAGGATAGATGTGCTGGGCATGGTGGTGCATGCCTGTGATCCCAGCCGCTTGGGAGACTGAGGCAGGAGGATCACAATTTCAAAGACAACCTCAGCAATTTAGCAAGACCCTGCCTCTAAATAAAATATTTTAAAAAAGGGCTGGGATGTGGCTAGGTGCTTAAGTAACCCTGGGTTCAGTCCCTGGTACCAAAAAAAACAAAAAAACCAAGGGGAGTCACCTAAATAAATTAAAAGACTATAGGGAGAAGTGAGGCTTGTTATTACCAGATATTAGAGGAAACTAGAAAAATTTAGGGTTCTGTCCAGTCAGGTGTAAATAAAAAAAAAATTTAAAACAATGAATGGGGTTACAATCTAATAACAGGTGTGCTATAGTTTTTCTTTAGAAACATAATGAATTTGTGAAATAAGTTTAGTTTCATCAAGTTTGGCCTGATCGATTACATAAGTGCAATAATAATAGTGACTGATGACATAGTACTCTCAGGGTAGACTGTTAAAAACCTCTCAAGGACCAGGTATGTGGCTCATGGTCGAGTGTGTGCTTAGCAGGCACCGGCCCTGGAGTCAGTCCCCAGATTCATCTTTCATAAACCTTTTGCAGCTTCCTCTGACCTTTAGGACTTGCTCCAAGCTTTATCACTTGGTTAAGCCTTCAGTGTTGTCCCATTTCTTTGATTTTTAAACTAGAATCATTGTACCTTAAGACAAAATTGTATTCTTATTCCCTAATCACCAAGACCACGCAAAATTCTAATACAAAAATAATTTTCTTTTTAATGTTCTTTACCAAAAAGTACATCTGCATATCTGTGACTTCCTTTTCATCTCTCTCCTACTTACTAGTTCCTTTCTGTTTTATTCTTACTTTCTTTCTAAATCCACATTTTGAAAAAAAAAATTAACCCCCGAATAAGGCAATATTCTCTTTAATGCCATTTTATAATTTTTCTCATTAAAAAATCTTAATTTTCTATTACACTTTGAATATAGAATTGCATACATTAATTCTAGAATTTTTTAACACTTAGTAACCTTATTTCTGGTGAAAACCTAGGTTGGAAGCAAATTTTAAACTGTACCTCATATAGGAACATTTTGGGAATATTTTATTTCTTGAAATGTGTGCTTCCTCATTGAATTTTCTAGGATGGAACAGGACATATTTGCTAAGAGATCCAGGTGTATTTTGTCTGAATAAAAAGAAATCAAAAGTAAATTTATGTTTATGTCTGTTCAGGAGGCATCACTGTCAAATAAAATGTTCAATATTTTACTTGGAAATCACTTATTTTATGAATATCTATTTTTTCATTTTAGATAACATTAAGATTTCATATTAGCCGGGTGCGGTAGTGCATCTCTGTAATCCCAGTGGCTTGGTAGGCAGAGGCAGGAGGATTTCCAGTTAAAGCCAGCCTCAGCAATTTAGCAAGGCGCTAAGCAACTCAGTGAGACCCTGTCTCTAATAAAAATACAAAATAGGGTTAGGAATGTGGCTCAGTGGTCAAGTGCTCCTGAGTTCAATCCCTAGTATTCCCCCCCCCGCAAAAAAATATTTTACATTATATAAAAAGATTATTTATAAATGTTTACTCCACTTATGTTCATCTAATTTATTTATTTATTGTGGTGCTAGGGATTGAACTCAGAGCCTCACCCGTACAAGAAAAGCACCCTACCATAGAGCTACATCCCAGCCCTGATTTATTTATTTTAAATATTTTTTTAGTTGTCAACGAATCTTTTATTTTATTTATTTATATGTGGTGCCCAAGATCAAACCCAGGGCTTGACACATGCCAGGGAAACATTCTAGCACTGAGCCACAACTCCAGCCCTGATTTATTTTTTTTAAATATTTTTTAGTTGTTTATGGGCCTTTGTTTTATTTATTTGTATGCCGTGCTGAGAATCGAACCCAGTGCCTCACACACGCTAGGCAAGTGAGCTACCACTGAGCCACAATCCCAGCCCCCTGATTTTTTTTAACACTTATACCTAGACTGGTTATAAACCCTTAATGATCAACTGAGAAAGTAGCTCAGTGGTATCCTTAGCACTGCATAAATAAATAAACAACCAAAAAATGTTTTCATTTTTTTTTCCTGATTGGTAATGTTATGAGGTCTGTGGGTCAAATTTTGGTAAAGCAGTTTTTTCTCCTCTTTTTTTTTTAATTTGGCATTGGAAATTGCACCCAGGGCCTTGTGTATACTAAGCAAGGGCTTTACAATACACCTGAGCTACATCTCCAGTATGATTTATTTTTCTTTCTTTTTTTTTTTTTTTTTTTTTTTTGGTACCAGGGATGGAACTCAGGGGAACTCAACCACTGAGCCACATTTCCAGCCCTATTTTGTATTTTTTTGAGAGACAGGGTCTCACTGAGTGCTTTGCATCTCACTTTTGCTGAGGCTATCTTTGAACTCATGATCCTCCAGTCTCAGCCTCCAGAGCCGCTGGGATTAGAGGTGTGTATCACTGAACCCGGCTACAATTTCATTTTTATTTGTTAATTAATTAATTTATTTATTTAATAATTAGATTTTAGTTGTAGTTGGACACAATACCTTTATTTTATTTATTTATAAGTGGTGCTGGGAGGATCGAACCCAGGGTCTCGAAGTTTCACTGCTGAGCCACAACCCCAGCCCTACAATTTCATTTTTAAAAAGCTTAATTTCCTCTTTTCCAATCTCAAATGAGCTTAAGAGTTAATTGTTTAGATGTTTACATTTTAACTGACCCTAGCTAATTGTGTAAGAAAAATTTTCCAAGCAGCTCCAATTTTTTAGTTTTTAGTCATCTGGTTTGCTTGACTAGTCAGCATGGGTAGTGAAAACAACGGTCTATTTTTTTTTTTTTTTTTTTTTTTTTTTGGTACCGTGGATTGGACCCAGGGGCACGCACCACTGAGCCACATCCCCAGCACTATTTTGTATTTTATTTAGAGACAGGGTCTCACTGAGCTTCTTAGTGCCTCGCTTTTGCTGAAGCTGGCTTTGATCCTTCTGCCTCATCCTCCCGAGCCACTGGGATTACAGGCATGTGCCACTGTGCCCAGTTTAGTAATGGTTCAGAAGATAGTTTTGGGCTTTTTCTGGCCTGTGTAGCAGACAAAACTTTTATTTTTTAATGCTGCACAGAACAGACCTTTTATTATTGCTCTGAGCTCAAGATGTTTACTTGTTTGTTCTGAGGGTCTGTCTGACTTTTATAAACACTTGTCCAGTTCTTTTTCTTTCTTTCTTTTTTAGACTATCAGTCTTTTACTGGTGCCATAGCTCTAATCAGTGGCTAGCCAGGCAAACCTCAATGTTATTTCTAACAGGGACCACTTGGCAGCTGGGTTGCCGGTGACCAAGGAGTGGCCATGGTTCGCAAAGCCATTGACTTGAAGTCTTCTTTTTTCTTATCTCAGCTGAAAGACTCCAAGAAAAACTTTTCAGATCAATGAAAATTGCCAAGAATACGTTTCTTTAAATTTTAATTTG